AGTATTGGCAAAAACACTTCTTAAGCCCCTAAAATTATTCCAAAATAACATTTAAGCTCTAAAATTAAAAACAAAACAGATAAACCCTCTAACACCACCAATGATACAAATAAATCCTTCTAACAAAGGGGCCAAACTGTATCTCATGTTTAATAGCACCTTGAAAGCATGAATATCCATAAATGAGAAGTGCTTATTTGCATCATTAATGAAATTAGAGAGTTTATCTTTTTTGTTTTTAGTTTAGGAGTTTAAATGTTATTTTAGGATAAATTTAGAAACTTAAAGAAAGGTTTTTCCCAGCAATATTTCATTTTAAAATCCCCTCGAAAGTTTGAACAATTTGCATTGTTAGAGGAGTTGAAACGTTGTTGTTTAATCCTAGGACCCTATTTCTTCTCGGTTTCTGTTCTTCCCTCTTGCAGTCCTTGAAAGTTGAAACAGCATTACACACCTCGCACTGCTTTTCCTGCATTCTGTTGCCCTGTTCAGTTGACTGGTAAATGATGCATCTCTATTTATCTTCTTTTTGTCCGGTCTAGTTTATCCCCTGCCTACTTTACTTCCTCTTCTGGGTATCTTCGAAACCACAGAAGATTTTGAATTTCTGGTTAAATTCTGCTGCTTTGAATCAAAATTTTAAAACCCATGTTGCTGCTGTAACGATTGAAATTGTTTTCTATTTTTGAAAACCATAATTTCCTTTCATTTCCCTCTATTATACGGCTTGATTATCCTTTTTTTTTCTTTTTTTCTTTTTTTGATAATTTAGATTGTTCCATCCTGGATACCTCATGGTTTCAAGAAGAAATCAGCTGCATAACTGCTGTGTTAGAAGTTTTTTACAGCTTGTCATTGATTTAGTGATTATGTTTGGTTTGTTCTGCATGGCAATGCTTAGAATCACAGGTTCTTAAATAAAGGTATATCACAAATGATGATATTGATTTTATCCTGCGCCATTAGTTATGTCGTTCCTCATGGACATAATGTTGTTTTTTCATCAAGAATTAGCTTACACTGATGGAGGTTGGCTAACTATGTGACTCGTCTCTTATTACTTTTGGTTTGCCAATAAATTTGTAGCTCTTGCAGATGAAAATTGGAAAAAATCTTCATCAATAATCACATGCTTTCATGTATCTAAGGTTAAACTTGGGCTCATTTACATATGTTCATCTTGCATAATTTCTTATTCTAATTCTGCTGGATATTGTGTCTTCCAAATTGTTGATGGAGTTCGTAGGATTGAACTGTATTTCAAGTTATGTCAATGACCAGGGCAAAGAGAAGTTGGATTGCTTAGAATTGAAACCAAAATCCTTAAGAAACGCTAATTTCATTAGGATTAAACTAAAGCTAAGCTGTTTCTGATATTTATTGTAAGTTTCATATTCCTTTGGGATTAGTTGTCAAATGAAGCCTGATCATGATGCTGTCTCTACTGCTTGAGTAATTTCAGTTGCACAGAATTTTTAAGAATGTCACCCTAAGCTGAAAAGATGGCAGAACACCCAAATTTACCCCTCAAATAAGAGGACAGAGATACATTTGCCTCTTAAAAAAATGTAAGAACAATTTCAAATTATTAATCAATATAAATCACCTATTATTTAATGTGTAACATTATTACATGTCAAAAATTCATTTGTCACATAAATATTTTTCAATGGAAAGTTGATATGTGATGATATCATATGTTAAATAATAAGTAATTTGTCTTAATCAACAATTTAGATAGATAATTTATCTTTATATTTTTTTGAGGGATGAATATGAGAGGTAGATTTGAGGGTAGATTTGAGAGGTTTTGCCCTGAAAAGATAACAATTGATATAGTTTTTCTTTCTTTCTTTTTTCGACCCAAACATGATGACAGTTGACACAAATACGGTCATGAAAAGAATATGGTGAAGGTAGGGAATGAAAGAAATTTGGTTTTAGCACTAATTCTTATGAATCACACAAATTAGGTAAAAAAGTAAACATGTAAATCTTGTTGTTGTTCCATTTTTAAGCTGAAAAATATTATTCCTTAATCTCTATGTAATTTTAGAAGTAACATGCTCCAAACCATCTGTTATAATTACGATTCAGAATTTAAGAAGTTCGAGAAAACTAAGATAAGTAAAAGCAAATTACTTGTTAACACAAAAACCATATCTTAAACAAGTACTAGATGCTCTCATTATTTTTGTTTTTCATATTTTTTGGGTTAAAACCGCAGTCTGATCAAATGCAACTTATTCTCTTTGTTTTTCATCTTTTCCAAGTTAAAACCAGGGGGTGACCATGTGGGAGTAGGAGCACCATTTTGAATTCAAGGCTAGCTCTAGTGCTTTGAAGACAAATCCTCTCGACGTTGGTATCATCACAGGTCATCCTCACAAGGTTATGGTCATTTCCACTTTTTAGACAATCATGCATGATCATGCTAAATGTCACCTTGTCACAATTGATATCTTCATTAACAAAAAGTTTGAAGAGATTGTGCCCTCATTTTTCTCTTGAATCCTACTAATTTGAAGTTGATTGATATCCCTAAAAATGAATTTGCAAGTCTTGAAAATGCTAATAACTAGGATGACCTTAGACTACTAAACAATGAGAATCATAAAGGACAGAACAAACATGAATTTATTAAGGGGAAGGATCTAATTGAATCTAATTGTCTCATTAATTTAAATCTGGAATCAAAGTGGAGCATATCTTTTCTCTGAAGTATATTGGAAAAAAAAAATTAATTTATTATCAAGTCTTATAGAGAATTAGACCTTATCTGTGCTTTGTACAATTCATCAGTATTTAATTTGATTAGATGCTATTGTGAACCTCTTGCTCAATAAAGAATCATAAGGATAAAACTAAAACAGTCTCAATAGTTACATTCTGATCAAATTTTTACTGGCAAACATAGTTCTCTTCTTAATAATTATGAGCTAAAAACCCATTATATAATTTGAATTACAAAACATAAAATTTTAAATTAGGAGCCTTCTCATTTAAAAATTTATGTTTTACAATGTTTTATTGTTTGAGTTGCAAAATATAAACATTTAAATAACATACATTCTCGTTTAAAGATTTTTGTTTTACAATTCATTACAGTAAAACAATTGATTTATTATGAAAATTTTGAATTGTAAATATAATAGAAATTTAAGTGTAAAATTTTAATCAAGCTAATTTTTTTATAAAGAAAATTTTTTTAAAGAAGACAATTTTTCATAGTATGTTACTATATTAATAAATTGGGGGGAACTTTTTTCTTTTTTATCCTCTATTTATAGAGAAAGAAAATACCCTAGAAACCGTAATTTTTTTTCTAACCTTTGTCCATCTAAACCGTTCAAATCTTCCCCTTCAATAGTCGTCATTTGATGGCAAAAGACAAAGAAAACAGATAGAACTAACCCAGCTACGGAGAGGTGCAAAAGGGAACCTCAGAGCTGTTGTCGGGTTCCTCTTACTTGGTGGGAAGTGCCTGTTCTTGCCCCTCATTTGTACTGAGCAGTGAAGGGGGACCAATTCGGGAGCGTTTGCTGTGATGCTACCGCGTGAGATCTTGTACCTTTAATAAGAAAAATATTAATATAGAAATACTTATAGTCATGTCAAAAATACACTCACGGCATCTCCTTTATTTATTAGAAGCAAATTTTTTTATTAAGAAAACTTGTTATCAAAAATATTTTCTTTTTAATATTCACAATTTATGTATTGAAATTTATTTTTGATTTCTCTAATATTTGAACTATTTTTCTTTAATATTTTCAAAATAAAAATGAGATATTCAAGTTTGAAATTAAATTTTGTATCAAAATGCATGTCCATATAATTGCTTTCTACAAAATTTGTTTTTATATGTTTTCTGTTCTCATGTAAATCAGGTAAGTGCTTGAAGATATATGATGAATACATAAATTGATTAGAGACATTCAAAATATGTAATCAATGTTCATTTATATCATATTTATAATAAGAATTTTTAAATTTTTATTAACTTATTTTGTAAATCTTTTTATTTCTGCATAATTTCATTTCTACAACTATATTCATAACAATAATTATAATATGATTTTACATTCTTTCAAAGGAGTGGAATCAAACCAATGGTGTTGATTGGTATTTTTTTTTTTATCAAAACTTTATAATTTTGTTAATAACAAGAAAATATGTATTTACTTTGAATATATATGTTAAAATTACTTGTTCAAAATTGTTTTTTTTAGAGTATATTTGAGGTATGGAAAAAAAAGTGTATCATCTATAATATGTCTTTTTCAATATTCATTTTTTCCCTATGAAATAATTTAAAATATTTGTAGAATTATACTTGAATTATAAATAGATCCATTCATAGGTAATTTTTGAAAGAATTGTAATTTTTTTATTTGGTTG